CATAGGCTGTACAGCCAGAGGGGCAGGGGCACTGGTTTTGGGGGTCAACCGGACCTCACGTTGAATCACTGCTCTTACTAATGGTGTAAACTCTGGAGAGATACTTAATCTTTCTAAGCCTCTGTTCTCTCATCTGTAAAATGGTATAATGCTATCCACCTGTGAGAGTTATAGAAAATAATAAATGTCAAATGCTGAGCACCGTGCCTGCCATTCAATCACAGCAGCTGGTGAACAGGCAGGTGTGAGGTGTGCTTTCAGAACCTATTATTCTAGCATCATTTGGAAGGTGGATTGGAAGGGAGTAAGACCAGTGTCTGGAATGAACCCAAACGCACGTGGGCGCACACACTCACCATCCTACAGAAAGGATGTGACTTAATTAGAAGGTAAAAGAGGGGCGGAGTTGAAAAAGGCTTCCCAGGGGGGGTGACATAGGAAATGGGCCTTGTTAGGAGGAGAAATGAGGAGCGAACAACACAGAAGAGGAACAGGAGCATGAAAGTCCAAGGTGTACAGGAGCAATGAGGAACCCAGAGCCAGCGGGTCTGGGGGGGAGGGGCAAGGAGGAAGGCTGTCAGGGGTCTGCACTCAGGAGGTACACATAAGTGACCACTGTGGGTGCAGGGCCAGGGCTGTCATGATGAGTCAGGCCAGATCCTGTGTCAGGCCCTGAAGGCCAGGCTAATGAATGTGGAATTTATTCAGAAGGTAGCAAAGAGCCTACTCCTTTATTAGAATTATCTATTTCCTGCCCACTGACCCATGAAAATTTTTCCAGAAAGAAGGGAGACTGCAGTAGAAGTGTTCCCACTGTCCCCTGGCTCTCCTGAGTTCAAAAGAAATGAACCAAATCGCTTCAAGCTCCATTATACCCAAGGCAGAATGTCCTCTCTCTCCCGTGTGCACTGAGGTTCATAGGAATAGCCGACTGTCTTAACTCATTTGAACCTCATAATAGGATCAATATTATTAGTTTCCCACTTTATGGACAAGGAAGTGAGACACCAAGCCATTAAGTAATTTACCTAAGGTCACTCAACTAGTAATGGACAAATGGGCCATCCAGCACAGGAGGCTGCCAGAAAAGGATACAAGGCTTCTCTGTACACCAGAGAGGGTCCGGGCCCACAGGTGGCCAGCATGCCCCAAGGGAAAGCCATGTTGCCATATGAGGGCTCCTGGGAGCAGGGTGGGCCAGAGGGATGGTGCCTCTCTCCTCCAATCCAGCACTGAAGCACCTGAGCTTTGTCTCCCTTCACAGAGTCAAGCCTAGCTCTTGGGGAGCTGAAGGTCACACCTCTCGCAGGAGCCTAGAAAGGGCGATGTTGTCCCCAATGCACAGATTGCTTCTAGAGCAGTGAGAAAAGATAGGGCCCTCCTAGAATGCCCAGATCACGAACTGGGAGCCAGGCTCCTCTCTCCTCCCACAATCAACCCCCAAGAAAGGCACCCTCAGGTACCTCTTCAGGAACTGATGCTGGGGTGAAGGGAATGAGCTTCTTCCAGAGCTGCTTCTTCTCTCCCAGTGGACAGCTGTATTCACCTCCATCTTCTGCTCTTAGCCCTATACTGCTCTTCAAGGGACCAGTCCTACCTGGACCATGCCAACCAGAAGTTGTGTGCAGAAATGAAGGCGGTCTCTCAACAGAGTTTCTCAAGGTTATCTGATAAATTTGCAGGTAAGAAGGATTTCTGCTCAAATCCAGTTGGAAAGTGAGGGACCTGAAGTGAGAGGACCAAATTCCAACTCAGCCTGGAAGTGGGGAAGGAAACACAGGATTAAACAGTGTTTTGAGGACAACCATTAACCAGTCTGTGCCAGGCACTTCAAGTCTCTTACCTGTGCACCTCCCCCATTTTACAGATGATGAATAGATACTAGGCATCATTTCCTGGTAAGTGGAATGGCCATACGTGAACCAGGAGCCATCTGACTCCAAGCAATTTTTCCACCTGCTAACCTGACGTATGGAAACGCCTTTCCCAACATTTAATCACTTTCTGCCCAAGAATAAGGAGGCAGCTCTAGCAGTACTTTTGCTTCCTAACCCAGGCAGATGAGAAACAACCTAGAAAGTATGTGTTAGGGGACAGGAGTGCTTAGAAACAGCCGGCGTCCCTGCACCTTCTCTCCCTCCCCTTCTCTGTCACCTTCCCCAGGCATTTGGCCAGAAGTGACCCTCCTCCCAACCCTGGCTACCTTAAAGGACCAAAAACAACAAGCATTCTTGCTCTGGTGTGAACTGAGAGAGGACCTTTGTTTCCAACCGCCTAGCCTCTGGCAAATACTCTTTCTTTCCATGACAGCAGACAGAAGTAAGTCGTGCTGCACATGCAGCTCTCCGGGTATTAGTTGTGACAGCAAGGTAGGAGAGAGAAGCAAGATCCCAGGAGGAGGCAGACACACCACCTTGAAAACCTAATTCTGTCTAAGAGACTAACTTCCCCCAGGTCCCTGGGGAGTCATTACATTTCTGTGTCTTCATTTCCTCCAAAGTGGAAAAGGGGTAATAATCCAGACTCACCTCACCGGAGTGCTGAAAGCAGGAATAACTAATTAATGCTAGTGAAGCACTTTAAAAGTAAAAAGCACTTCGCAGTAATTAATGTGGTTTCTGCTTTCATCTCCTGAAGCCTCATAGATAGAAGCAAGGTCCCAGATTGCTCTGCATGGCAAGAAGCAGGCCCAGGTAGCGAGTTTCCTGACAGGCAGCTCTGGGTTGTCTCAGGGCTCCCAGCCACTGGAGACCCATCTGAGCTGACAATTCCAGACCCATCTGCATCCACTTAGCTTTCTAGAGACCACGGCATTTTCAGTTACAGCAAACGACGCACAAATGTGAGGCTCTGAGCAGGGAGCACAGGGCAAAAAGGATTGCAAAGTCTGGGGCTGCTGCTGACTTGCCTTGAAAAACCAAAATGAACTTTTTTCTTCAAGGACTTTGCTTTTATTCATCATCGTTATAAAAACAGTCAAGTCATCAAGGTCTGCAGCTGCAGTGAGAGCATACAGAATGGGCTTTCTGCAAAGCACACGCACAATAATGCTCTCACACTCTTCTTGTGAGCAGCGGGCCAACGGGGGAAGTCTGGGTTTGGAGCCCAACCTTCCCCTCCTTTGGGTAAATTTTGCCAAGTAGAATGTTCGCCTCCCAAAAAAGGCACCTCCTTTATGAGATTGTTCTATCTGGTGAGTGGCCTCACAGAAGGTGGAAGTGTCTTTAATTATGCGGAGTGCTGGACCCTAGAGGATTGCACCCCTGTCGCTGCACTCCGGAATGTGACAGAGATTTCATCAGTGCACCACAGACCCTGTTAAAGTTGCATGTGTTCACCCTGTTTATTAGTGTAATATTTCAGTTCTATATGTAAAGGGCTTCTTTGGGCTGGGCTGAGAATCACCATGCATAGTAGTGTTTCTTAGGAAAATAGGTTCTGATTTCCAAGTGGCTGCCCTGGCATCTGGAATGCAAGCCATTTGTAAGAAGAAAACTGCCATAAAATATCAGACCCTTTTCTCCCATTATTTCAGAGGTGAAGAATGTGGATATCTTGAATTTCCTCTGGATGGATGGTGTAGAGGAAGGAAAATAAAAAGAAGGCAAGGAGGAAAAAAGGAACACCACCTACCACTCCTCCCTCCCTACACCCCAAATGTGCGACTCCCAGAGAGTCAGTCAGAGGAAAGGCTCAGGTGCTACTGTCCTGGTGATAATAATTCAGAAACCTTAGGGAAAACTACATTATAACCTTACCTATGGTTGAAAACCTGCCAGACCTGCTGATCATGGAAGTTACATGAGGATGGTGAGTAGGGTTGTCAACATTCTTATTCATAATGATACTGTTGCTTAACATATATAAACATATTTAGCACTTACAATGTTTCAGATACTCTTCTGAGTTATTTACACATATAACTCACTTAACCCTAACAACCCTATGAAATAGATATTATCATCATCCCTGTTTTACCGCTAAAGAAACTGAGACACTGAGAGGTTATGTAACTTGCCAAAGTCACACAGCTGGTATGTGTTACAGCCAGGGTTTGAACCAGACAGTCTGTCTGCAGAGTTGTGGTTCTTAACTCTCTTACATGCTGCCTCTCAGTAGTATTATTCTGGCCAGTTTGAAATGAGCAAAACACCATGCAATTTCCAATTTTAAGTTTCATTTTACCTTTTCAAAATGCAGTCTGTCAGAAGTCTTGAATATTTGGAACTAATATGGCCTTTGAGCTGTCAAAATGGATGTTACAAAGACTATACATAAAAGAGTGACTACTCAGACCCTTGGATTCCTACTGGACACCTGTTTACACACACACACACACACACACACACACACACACACACACTCACACACACCACTTCCCAACAGGTTTTGTTAACCACTCTCCAAGCACACAATAAATTTGAAGGAAATAAAAGTCTGCTGCAAGCCAGCATGCTGACAGTATCAGGTAAACATTACGATAAAGCCTGACAGTAAAAAAGACAGAAAAACCCTAAAAGCAATTGTAAACCTTACAGCATGGCAGCCCAGCTTCATGTAATAATATTGAAGAGCCTAAACTCTTTGAACCTCTATTTCAACTTCTTATACAAACAAATGCCCTTTTCTCAGTGTTGAAGCCATTTCCAGTGAGGTTATTTATGATTTGCAGACAAAGGCATTCTGCTTCTAGGAACAATTGAGATTATTTTGCTAAACTCAGTACACTATGTATAAGAAGGCAGGGGAGTGTGTAATACATTTTTTAAAGACTTACATGTAAAATAGTTACAATTGTTTAGAGCTTAAGTAGGTAGATCAGGGATCAGGGATCAGACATTTTTATTTCTTGGTTGGTTGGTTGGTTGGTTGGTTGGTTGGTTGGTTTGGGGAGGTGCTTGTTATTTTGGGTCTGCACTGTATGGCAACATTTTTTTTTTAATTCCATTGTTCTTAAAAGGGTTATGTGCTCTCTAGTTCCCCACAGTCCCCACCACTCCTTTTTTTTAATTGAAGTTTTATTTGAAGATAATTATAGGTTCACATGCAATTGTAAGAAATAATACAGAGAAATCCCATGTTCTTTTCCCCACTTTCTCTCTCCGGTAACATCTTACAAAACTCTAGAACCACATCACAACCAGAATATTGACATTGGTAGAGTCAAGGTGCTGACAGTTCAATCCCCACAAGGGTCCCTCACAAACACCACACCCATCCCATCACCACCCCCATTCTTGCCCCTCAGTAAACTCTCATCTATTCTCCATTGCTATAATTTTGCATTTTAAGAATGTTGATATAAATGGAATCAAACACTGGATAGCCTTGTAGATTATGCTTTTTTACTCATCATAATTCCCTGGAGAGTTATCCAAGTTGTTGAGTAAATCAATACTTGGTTTATTTTTATTGCTGAGTAGTGGTCCATGGTATGGATGAACCACAGTTATATATCCTCATTCATTTTTCCTTTAAACATAGACTGCTTTACTCATTTACATGAACTACCTTACCCGTGGGCACTTGAACTTGTGACTTTTGGGGTAGTTTTACCTGGGATGTGGAAAACTCAGATACCTAGAATGATTAACTTCCTCCCAGCTCTGTCTGTGGATTATACATGTCCACAATTTTAATCCCAGGGAAGAAAAGTTCCCCAACACATTGCTGAGTGTCACCCCTTACTATCAGCTGGTGCATACTCAGGAAATGAAACATTGGAACCAATTTAACCAGGACAGTAGATATGAACCAAAGAATCATCCTATAAGACATTCAAAGACAAATACAGAATTCCTTAGAGATGATTCTGCTTTGTTTTTGCCTTCTGGTAGCCAGCTTCTTTTGTGAGCATAGATAAGAAGGATTAAATCCATTCAGAACTCTCGAGTGCCTTATCTTGTACCCACCCACCTCTCACTGAGTCCATTTAGACTTAAGAATGTTCCTGTATTAAGTGTTTTACTCTTTCTTAGTTAATTTTTCCTTTTCTGTTTGGCTAACTTCTGTGACATATCATCTTCATTTTTAAATATCTAATTCTTATATGGTATAAATTCTACTAGTCCTAAGACACTTAACAACTTGAAGTGTCTCATATAATATACTTCATTCAATAAATATTTTTGAGTACCTAATCAATGCCTTGACTACATTTAATGATTATATACACTCTTTTCTCATAAAATAAATTCTTTAAGCCACTAGCAGAGTTGTAATTAGGGTCCTTTAGAAAATGACCATCGTGTCTTCCCCAGCATCTCATTAATAGCAAATGCTTTAAAATGTTAATTTAACTGACTTGCTAGGATATCTTTCAGGAATTAGATATGTGAAGTTCGATGAGTCTACTCATCTAGGTCTTGGCAGCAATAACCTTCTCTTTCCACCATGATATATTTTCCTTTTACTTTTTACATTCCTTTCCTTAAATTCTGAAGCCTGGATTACTGCCAATACCTCTCTGAATGAAACCCATGAGCAGTGTTGCTCACTTGCCCTCCCTCAGCACTCACGGAGGACCCTTCTTTGCTCCAAGCACTAGGGATTCAGTAAGAATAGCCATTTCACTTGTCCCCCCACGTTAGGATGGTAAATGTGACTGTAAAGTGAATATGATCACAAGGTAAGTATGACTTCCAGCTTTATAGATAAAGTCCCTGACTTTCTCAAAAATCTCAGAGTTGATAAGTAACAGAGCAGGGACTCAAACTCAGGTCTGTCTGACATCAAAGACCATTCTCTGGGGACTTGGCCAACCAATTTACAGGCAACACTTTCACCCACCTCACTAATAATATAAATTCTTACCACTAATCTTCCTAATAATGAACAGTTTCACTTCTTTAGTGCTGCAGATCAGGCTCCCAAGAAACAGGATTCTGATGGAGACTTGGGTCCCACAAGGACTCTTAAGAAGTGCTCTGTGGATCAAGACCTGTTGGGGGGTAAAGGAAATAGGATTGGGTGGAGGAGACATTGAACTTCAATGCTGTAAGAACCTGAGCCTCATCTTACCCAGGGGGAGGTCAGCAGTGACCCAAATTAAGTCAAGGTGGCAGTTCCCGTGTACCCCACCATAACCAGTCACTGGGTGCACAGTGCCCCAGGAAGTGGGCCGGACCATGGGCCCCACAAATCTCGGAGGGGGACTCTGTGAAGAGCCTCAGCTGCCACCACTCCTGGCTCTGGGGGAATGACTGCTGCGTGGGTGGGCACTCGCACCCTTTACTCGTAACTTGTTCTCTCATCTCCTTTCCAAATCTTTCACGTCTCTTAGAAGATTTCTGAACTGGAGAAAACCAAGCCAAACTTGCACATTTTTCCTATCCTTTTTTTTCCCCCCCCAAAGATCCCAGGATTACTTTTTAATTTATTATTTTCTCTTTCCCGATGAAGGTAGCAAACTTTCTCTCCAGTGCCTCAGCTCACTCGAGAAAAAACTCAAGGGATAGTCTCCCTATTTCCTCAGTGCCCCAGCCTCTGAAAGGGTGGGCTTGGGTGGTGCGTTCTGCTGCTAGAACTCTGGGGTTAGCCTCTCCTAGTTTGCCACAGCAGTCCTTTTCCTGAAACCTTTCCTTTCCCTTCCAGCCCTCCTCTCCATCCCCAGCACCTCACCTTACCCATGCCCTCATTTTTCCTCAACGGGAACCTGACCAAATCTCCTACCTGTTCCCACTTTCCCTTTCAGATCCACCCTGCTCACCTTCTATTACCCTACTGATCTTTCTAGACACAGGCCTGCCATGTGAAGGTTTTGTCCCTTGTTTCCAGGGTTAAGTCTTAAGTTCTTTACCCTCACATTCAAGACCCACTTGATCTGACTGACCTCTCCCCATCAACACACATAATACTGAACTGTCTGCAGATTTTCCTCATCCACAACATTATTCCTACCTCCCTGCCTGTTCATATACTTACTGTTCCTTCTTTCTGGAATCCTTCCTACACCAGCTTAACTCCTTCAAGACCCAATTATGGCGTTTTCTTTCCTCCAGGAAGCCTTCCCCACCATGAAGTAACCTGGGCTCCAAGGCCTGCCTCGCCCTCAACCCTGCTCCACAGCACTCAGATCTACCTCACCACATCCCACATGCTCAGAAGTTATCTGTCTGCAAGACGTGCAACAGGACAAGATCTATCCTGTTCTGTGTCCCTTATAGGCACAAGGAACACAGAATAGGAACTCAAGATAAACCTACTGAACTGAACAGACCAAACCCCTCTTCAGTGTCTATGCCAGATATTTCCTTAATGTCCTACAACTTCCTTGCTCCACAAAATACTGGCTTGCCCCAAATGTACTAATTTTCACCATTTTTTCCAGGTGGTTATCAAGCAAAGGTATGATCCACATTAAGCAAGCTGGTGTTAGAGAAAATCTGTATTGTAAAAGAAAATTTGGAATGTTGATTTCTCTATAAAAGACTACTAGCCTAGCTTTCTTTAACTAGGAAATTCCAAGTATCTGCACAAAGAGTAGATGCATGATCTTCAAACTCTGAATGGTGAGGATTCTTTTACTTTTGTCTTTATATTTTTGTATATTATTTGAATATTATATAATGATCATGCTTTATTACTTAAAATCAGAAAGAAAATGCAAATTCATGTTCATTGTGGGGAAAACAAGGAAAAATGATAGGGTTCTAGATGACTTTTTCTTCTTTAAAAAGATAAAAAGTAGAATTATGAAAAAAATAACATTCAAGTCCCTTAAGTTAATCTCTAGGCTCAGTAGCAAGAATAACTTGTAAATCTGTAGGGCTTTATGTCCAAATGCATTTTAAATTATTCAATTTTAAAATTGTTTCTTTCTCTATAATTTCCAGTGTTTATGGTCAGGGCACTATTATGATGTTAAAGACCATGTACCATAGAGTAAGCTCACAGTCCAGGAGCCTCACATAAACTAACTCTTGGCAAGTCAATCTGGTTCTCTGAGCCCTCAGTGCTTCAAGTGTAAAATGGGATGATCTCTGCACAGGATTCCAATTAAAACAAGAAAAAGAGACAATATATATATACACAGTTATTTTAGAAAGTAAAAGACTGAAGAGCCATAATAATAAGTGGTAGAAGGGTTATGATTAATAATAATATTCTTGTAGTAGCCATTGTCCCCATCCCTTGGAGCCCCTGTGCTGATCTCCTTGAGTGCCGGCCACCTCTGGAAGGGTTCCCCTCCCCTTCAAGGCTTTCTTCCAAGGACTGTTTTCTGTCCTCACCACACTGAACCAGCTCCCAGGTACTCGTGCTCTTTGCCCAGCGCTCCCTCAGATATTAACCCCAGGACAGCACTGAATGTTTACACTGCTGGGCCATTATCATTAGCTGAAAGGGCACCCTGAAAGTACACAGTCTTTACTAAACATATACATATTCTCCTTTGTCCTTTCTCATATACCTCTTTAGGGAACAGTGTTTCAAAAATGATTTAATTAAGCATTTGGTTGCCCAATCTGGAGAATCTTTTCTTAGCAAGTTTTAGGGCAGAGTCCTGAACTCCGCTGGTTTACATCATCCAATAGAGAAACTAAAATCACTTCTGTCTACATTAAGTCTCAATACATCCTTGCCAGGTGGGAAGCAAATTGTCTGATCTCCATGAGTTTTCTGTATGACGTATCTTCTTTTAATCACACAGCCTGTGAGTGAAGGTGATCAGACTGCAACTAGAGTCTCCACACCAGAACTGCTTGGCCCTTGGCCCATGGGACAGTATTTCTCTTCCTTTCTTTTCTTTTCTTCTTTCTTTTCTTTTCTTTTCTTTTCTCTTCTCTTTTCAGTAACTAAAAAGAAAGGGAAGAAACAAAAATGAAAGTATTTATTAATGACAAAGGGAAGCCGAAACCGGTTTGGCTCAGTGGATAGAGCGTCGGCCTGCGGACTGAAAGGTCCCAGGTTCGATTCTGGTCAAGGGCGTGTACCTGGGTTGCGGGCACATCCCCAGTAGGAGATGTTCAGGAGGCAGCTGATCGATGTTTCTCTCTCATCGATGTTTCTAACTCTCTATCTCTCTCCCTTCCTCTCTGTAAAAAATCAATAAAATATATTTTTTAAAAAATGACAAAGGGAATACCATCTTAAGATACTCCCAAGGACCTGGCATCAAATATCTCATTAAAAGAAGACTGGATTCCCAACTTTGCTTTTTTAAAACTCTGAACTATATCCTCTAAATAGCATCTTTGTCTGGGGAAAAACACCTGGTTTATTTATGTGGGTTGATATATATCTGTGAGGGTAGAAGTAGAGAGCAGTCAAGTTTCATTAGTATCACAAAATCAGGAGAGTAGAGCGATTAAGAGCTTAGACTAAAGCACCTGAAACACTTGTGTGCCGCCCCCCCCCCCACCCCGCCCCATCACCACCACCACCAGAATGGTTATATACACATGTGAACACAGACTTAGCCTCTCCTCCCCATCTCCTCGTCTATGAAATGGAGCCGAGCATATCTGACTCACAGTGGTGAAGGTTAAATGAGCTAATGAATGCAGACTGCAAAGTAGAGAGCCTGCTGCCTAGTGAGCACTCACATTAGCTATCTTTGTCATCACCATCATGGTCGGCAGCAACCACAGCAGCAACTACAAACTTCCAGTCATTTGCTGCAAAGAACTGTCCAAGGCGTGGGAGGAGACGTTTCTAAGCTCTCTTTAGGAAGCATATTGTAGAGCAGCAGTTCTCAACCTGTGGGTCCCAACCCCTTTGGGGGTCGAACGACCCTTTCACAGGGGTCGCCTAAGACCATCGGAAAACACATATATAATTACATATTGTTTTTGTGATTAATCACCATGCTTTAATTATGTTCAATTTGTAACAATGAAATTGGGGGTCACCACAACATGAGGAACTGTATTAAAGGGTCGCGGCATTAGGAAGGTTGAGAACCACTGTTGTAGAGGCTTAGGAGGTTATTTATCAACACTAACAATGAATTTAAACCTGTTTGAAAAGCAACCTATTACTATCATCACTTTTCTTGAGCTACAAAGCAAATTGTATCACATAAGCATTAACTTTTAACCATACAAATAATTCAAACTAACTAGTTTGAAAAGTAGGTAAGAGCAAAGAAGAGTCCATTTGCCTGCATATTTGTAGCTGGGTGCTTTTAAGCTTAAATCGGCTATTTTTCAGGAGTTGGCCCACAATCCCACTAAACTATAGTAGTCTGACTGCTGCTACTTTAATTTCACAGTTCACAGGGGCAATCCTATCACTAAACGCTAGTCCTTGTCACCATCAACTTAAACTTTTTATGGACTTTTTCACTTCTCCAGTCTTGTGTTTTAAGACATTCTCCCTTTTTCCCCAAATGTGGAGTCACGTCAGCCAGTCTTGCTGAGCATCGTGCAGAACAGCCTGTGCGTCACCCTGTAAGAACATGCTGCCCTATTGCTACAAGCCATAAACTTTAAAGCACAGAATAGCATTCATGCTTCTACCTTTGGAAGAAGATAAAGCACTGACTTCATGGCCATTCGTTTCAGAATTTACTCACATTACAGCCCTGAAAACATCCACTGTTTTGGCCCCGCTGGCTCTCTTGAGGGAGGAGTATACACTTTTACAGCAGAACCACTGTGTAAATTCTCGGGGTTAACCGAAGTACACTCTGGCTTTGGCAAAACTCCCAACAGCTGGTGCTGTGGTCCCAGATTAAGGGCCGTACTGTATCAGCCACCCTGGCCATCTCTGCAGGAATGAACCAATTTGGAAGGAGCCACTGGAGGGCTTCGTACTGAGGATATTTACAGAGCGTCGTGACCTTTACTGAATGCTCAAAGTATTTCTACTCATCCAGAGACCCATGAGGCAGCTGACCGGGATGTGCTGAAAAGCAGAGTGAAGGGAAAATAGACTCGTCAAGAAGCAGAAGGTCTTGAGGCCCCAAATTAACTTATTCCAAACATCCATCTTTGTTCACAGTCTGAAATTCATTCACATAATTCAGCCAATGCCAGCTTCCAAAGAATAACAAGTAGCTGCCAGTCCCTGCTAGGTCATTCTTTGTCATAACATAATTTTGTAAGTCCCCTATTAAATTTGCAAAACCCAAAATTTGTCTTTTGTGTCTTTACATTCCAGTTCTTAGCACAACTGACTGGCACAGAGCCAGCGCACCATAGATATGTGTGGAGTGAGTTGAATAAAGGTAAGCATCATACTCCAGAATCCAGTTTTCTGAGAAATCCCCAAGCTTTTGAGGAATGGGGAAGTGACCTTATGGCTCCAGTCACACCATAACTAGAGATGAATATTCAGTTCCACAGATACACACACACCCTCCGGCACCCCACCCCCAACCCCATTGTTTCCCTAAACCAGAAGTCAAGTACCAGGATGCAGGTTTTCTGGCATGCACCTCCCTGGAATTCCCAGCACATGTTGACTCTATGAGTAACAGTCTACATTGGCTGCCACTATCTGTAATCAGATAATATCCTTTTCCTCCCACTAGCCAACTGGATTTTGAACCTGAAATACCCTTAGAAGGATATTTTCATTTCAGTTTGTAGTCTGGCTGCAACCTCAGCCAGGCAGGCAGGCAGGATGCAAGGGTCACCACACATTCCTCCTGGCTCTGGGAGGCAAAGCACAGGCCTCTCACCATCTCGGCCTTGCCAGCCCACACCCACACATCACAATGACAGTCATCTCTCCCAAGGCCTCGCTCACCAGCCAGCTTCCCCTTAACTCCATCATTCTGAGGTACTTGGCTCTCCCTAGTTCCTGTGGGATGGCCTAAGTGGGGGGCTATTTTCTACATGTCACATAATTGTGCTTTATTTTCAATTGTCTGGCATCTCTAATACACTAGCTATATGACCTGGTTTGCCACTCTGTCTCCAGAGTGCTTCACACAAAAAAATGTTCTGAATGTGCTTTCCAAATACTGGTCTCCAGTTTGGGGCAGCAGGTGTCAATTTCTTGCCCTAAATGCCCCACTGCTTAATACTACTGAAAGGCAAGTGTCCCCTTGCCCCCCTTGGATGCCTCACCCTTGGAGTGGACAAGGCAGGTGAAGAGCTAGAGCTGGAACCTTGGGAGCAGGAACCCAGAGCAGAGGCCCATCTTGCTGGGTTCTAGGGGTGACATCAGATCATTTCTCTTATTAACTAGACTGCCAAGAATCCAAGAGTGTATCCATTACTTCTTCTCAAAGATTTTTATCTTCTTAATGTATTATTGCTTTTGTCATTTGAAATTATTTGTTACAATTCACTTATTAATATCAGAATATTTCTATGGATTTCCCATGGAAATGTATGAAAAATAATTTTATACAGTGTATTTATAATTGTATATGCTGAATTATCAATTCTTTCCTGGAAAGAGAAAACTTCTATTTGACAAGGTATTGATGAGAATTAAATCCTCAGCTTAAAATGTTACATATCTGATCGTTGGAATAATTTATCACAAAAGGAGCTTCTAGCTCCCTCCATTTCAAACCTTGATTATCTTCTATTACTCATATATTTCTAGTGCCAGGTGCCATAGAACCTGTTTACATTAACTACCAGCTCAGTCACCGGTAGAGTCAGTACAGTGGGCGTTGGGAGTATTTCTGGAAACCAGTCCAAAATAAGAGTGGCTAGAAATATTTAACTCTACACAGAAATACCTGGGAACCTCACAAATAATATCCCACTAACCCAAGCTAAATGCTTGCATAGCTCCACTTCCCTTAGCCTGGTCCCAATTCAAGGGGAAATGTGATGGAGAGGAAGTCACACTGGAAGGAGTCAGTGTCTTAAGCAACTAAAGTCAATACATCCAAGGTGCACAAATTTTACAAAACATATGACCATGCGAATCAACACTTTCCTTAGGCTATCACATAGCTATAAAGTGTTCTGATGGTGAGGCTTGATTATCTTCATGCAAATCCACTCTGGCACCATCCAATCAGAACAGATGCTGGTAATGACCAGCTCCATCATCTGTCACTTACTGGCCGAATGAACCTCCTTGAATGCTGACAACTAATGTTCATAAATATCTATAGAGGATAAATGCCCATAAAAACCAGATTCTCATTCTAACATGATAAACGTTCTGTTTTGCCATGTCTTTTTGTTGTTGTTGTTATACACTTCATTCTTGCCTTCCTTTAAACTTTCATTTTCTGGACTCTTAATCTCTTAGATATTTTTTATGATATTGCAGCTTGATCTAAGCATAGTAGACATTTAAAAATCTGCATTTTATTAAGGGGCTTCATAAAGGCAGGATCACAAACAACATATCTGCAAAGGAGGATATTGAATTAAAAGGCAAAGAGTAGCTTGAATTAAAAGGCAAAAAACATACATCAGACAAAGGAAGGAATTAAGCTATAAATTGACCCAGTGGAGCAAGTCATGCAGAGTCCTAGGAAGCCCACCCTAAGACTGGGTCAAGATCCAGACATAAGTGTCTGCTTATTACTTTCTCCTCTACTAGAATGTAAGAAAGCAGGAACTGCACCCTTGTCTCATGTGTTCGCATGGTACAAGTACAATATAAATAAGCTTTATTACAAGGTGAACAGATGACTGATCAAGCATGGGAAACAGTCCTTTTTGGTTGGTGGCTAGGAGTCACTGGAAACCTTGGCAAGTGTGATTCTGGCAA